AAAAAAAAAAAAAAAAAAAAAAAAAAAAAAAAAAAAAAAAAAAAAAAAAAAAAAAACCAGAAGAGAAAGCCACTGTTGGTTTGCTGCCTTGAATGGGCAATTGCACATACTGCTCCAATGAACAATCTCAGAACCGAGTCTTTGGAGAAAAAAAAAAAAAAAAAAGTGTGAGACGGATAATGCTGGATCACTGGGATCTGACAGTCTGCTAAGGACCTAATATCTAGGAGATAAATAAGGAGCAGAAGGAGAAGGCAACGGTACACAGGGCTGAATGGGGCGAAGCTGGTTGCTTTTTCTGACGGAAGAGACGACAGGGCGACAATCAGGCTGAACTATGCAGTGTGCGCGCATGAATGCATGGGATACATTGATGAGACAAATGGGAGAAATGAATGAAGGGGTAGGGAAGGCAGGAAAGAAGGTAACGATGCATACAGGTAGACAGACTTTCAGCCATGCATAGGCATGTTCAGGCAGACAGCCAGGCAGCTGAACAGGCAGAAATGGATGGACATGGATAGATCAATGGAGGGACCATCAGAGGAATTATAAGGGGATGGACAAATGGGGCAACTGAACCTGCAGGACACACAGAAACCAAAGAAAAAAAAAAGAAAAAAAAGAAAAAAGGAAACACAGAAACCATGTTCAAACGGATCACTGCAAAAAGAGGGAGCAGCATCAGGAGAGCTGGGGAGAGAGGAGGGGCGACGACAGGAGCTCACAAGCCTGAACAAAAAGGTCAGATGCTTCTCTTATGGACGGGTGGCACATGCCATAAATAAAATAAAATAAAGGTATTCAGTACCATTCACATGTTAACCAAGTAGCCTGGCAATACATCGTAAAGAAGCCAGAAGAAGGGGGACTGGCTCTTATCGGTGCAAAACAGGAGGCTATAGCCCTACAGCTGAAATTGATAGTCAAGATATTGCACCAGACGACCACCCCCTGGATGAGGATGTCTCTGGAATCTGGATGGTATCCGTAAGCTAGCCCCCATAAGGACACCAGCAAACATGGAGGGGGCATTCTGGATAGGAGTGGCCAATCATCAAAACAGGGCATTCAAGGCCTGCCAGCAGGGCAACCACCAATACCTCCTGAACCATGAGAGCGGACCCCTGCCGACCAAGGCCTACCGCTTCATCAAAAGAGTGGGGAAAACAGGATGGCCACACAGCAAAACCTACCAAGGCACACGCCAGGACTGGGACACAAAATGCATCAGAGAACTGGAAACCCTAATTTCAGTTTTGGACCTGTTAGTCAGGAGCTGAAACTGCGGGTCCCCGTTAACCACGTGTGGGAATATGACCCCATAGTGTGGAACTGGAGGCACCAGTCCCACAATGCAAAACGCCTAATCTTGGGAATGCTCGGTTAAGTTTGGGTATAGTATAGGCTTAAGAACCAGGAACCCAACACTAACTATACATGAGAGATGGATTAAGGTACCGCAGAGACCCCCAAGCGAACCCACAACAGTTCCCTGGAAGGAATGCAAAAAGATGAAACCGACAAAATTTCAGAGCATGCAATGGCTGATAGCTGACACAGTGTTGCCAGTTAATAAATGGCTCCACAATCGCAGAAAGAATACTGATCCTGACAGCTCCGCATTTTGCAAAATCTGAACACAAACCGTCAAAGTAAAGATATTGTCCATTGTCTGATAAAATGCCCAGTCGCCTTATGGGTGTGGTCGAGAATAACCAAGATCTGGCTTTCCCTGCTCACCATCCTGCCACCGAACTCCCTGCTACCCATACTCCTCGCCACATTCATGACCTTGGTGGCGGCAAGAAAGACATGAAGTAGAGAAGTGGATAAAAATATGAAGCCAAGGAGAGGATATACCTTGAGATAACAACAGGCATCATTTAAAGTGTGAAAATGAATGAAGTCGACGTAATCTGCCGCACCATGACTGCCAAAAGTGTGAAATGCTTTATGGCCAACTATACAAACTTGCGACACCCCAAATGCTGTGGCACTCCGCGCCAGAGTTCCTGCCAAGTAGAGACATGCAGACATAAGTAAAAAAACAATAATCGACCATCAATAACCCATCGGTAAATCAACCAATCAGTCAAATAATCAAATAAATTAACCAACTAATCAATGGACTAGGTATCACTTCCCAACATGGTTCAGGTAGGCTCAAGCTCACAAAGTCAATTCAAGCATTCCCTCCAAACACCCAGCCTGTTTATTGAATCGCTGTCAATCTCCCGCATTGGTAGACAAAGGAGTCGGTCGGGGATTAAATCGTCAGTCCACCCTGCCACCATAATGCACAAACCAGCACAAACCAGCACAAACCAGCACAAACCAGCACAAACCAGCACAAACCACAGGAGCACCCAACAGTACAACTACCTAACCCTAAACTGCCAAGATTTACACCCACAGTGAACCACTTAACATACGGTGGGGGACCACAATGTACAGATCCAAAGGGTCAAGTTGCATTGAGCAGAAAAGGCCATGCCAGCAGCAGGCAAGAGCTGTGGCAATCTCCAAGTGCCGTTGGTGAACAGGTGGTGCCTTTCTCCATGAATTTTTTGTGTAGATCAGACGTAAAGTGCGCGCGAGTTTGTGCTTGTCTTCCTTGGTGTACTTTTCCATGCGCTGTGAACCAGTTTGATCCAAATACATGGAGAAGAGTGAAGGAACCTATCCAAATCTACCCTGATTCTGAAAAGCTACGTTTGGCAAATTTCAGGAAAATACAGTTGGCCAGAGTCAAAGGTGGATGACATCCGCGCAAACCGACCACAATGGAAATACTGGCATAACTTGGACCCAACGCTAGGGAGACAGGTAACCCCCCTACAAGAGAGATCTCAGAGTCCCACACGGCAGGGATGGCGACAGGTGAAGCCGTCAGTAAGGACGAGACAATAACAGGAGGCAAGTACAACGAGCTTGGCAACTTGCAGATTTAGCGGGTTGTAAAAGTAATTTGGTCATTTTTGCAATTTTCCTAAGTTTGGGGTCCTAAACGGTAACTGTAACAAGCCCAGCTCCTCTACAGGGACATTTCTGCAATTTCCTATATTTCCAGGTGCAAATTACTAACCTTTACTACATTCTGGGATTGGCACCGTCGTTACTGGAAAAGTACAGGCCCGTTTGTGTAAGTTGGGTCCTAGGTCTTAGTGGGAGAGTCCAGGAGGCAGCAGGGAGTCTAGAAATAGGTTGTGCCCGAAGTAGGACGGGTTCTTTCGACGGGTGATTCAGTCTGCGTGGGACGAGCTGTTTGGAAGCTGCAAGTGTTAACGTCACCATGTTTGGAGGGCAGCGCCATAGCTGGAGGTTGCTGTCGTGAGCTGAGGAGACGCACTGGGCATGTGCCCGCAGTGCTGACATGGGGACAGTGAAACTGTGCTGTTGGGGTCACACGCTGCCATCTTTTATCTTCGTGGCAGCTGTTGTTTTCTTCTCCGAGCTAAGGGATCTCTTCTTCATCCAGGGAGCCGCTCCTCTCCTTCCTGATTGGCGACTGATTGGGCGCTCAGGATTTTCAGTCATTCCTGATTGGCGCTTGGGCAGAGAAGAGGCGCTGGTTATCTGTAGGCTTCAGGTGTTGGGCGCCGATACAATAGGATGAGCGCCATAGCCAGGGATCTGCAGATCTGATGGTGGAGGAAGAGGAAGACTTCTGTTTCTTCGATAAACTTTCGTTTGAGGTTGTTCGGGGTTGTTGAAACATGGTTGGTTGGGATTCTTTGGAATTTTGTACATCTGCTGGATTGGAGGTGGAAGCGGGAATAAGAATGGAAGTTTCACTTTCAATTCTATTTTTGTATATTGGACTTCCACTGTGTACTCCTCTCCCATTTGGTGTGGATTCGCCTTCTCCAAGTCTGCTTTGTCATTGAATGCGTGTACGGTATGTGTGGATGCTTTGCTGGATGGAATTTCAACCAGTTACATAACACAAGGCTGTGTAGAACAGCAAGGCCTCGGGATTCTTGTTTACCAGTGTACAGTGTTCGAATCTGAGAGGGATTCATGAGAAGGCAAGCTGACAGTTAATCCTCCCAATACAGGGAGCAATCAATGCTAGTCAGGGAGGATCCTTCCGCCAAACGGAAGCAAGCTTGAGGATGTCAATTGAAAGGATTCACGCTGCAGACATCCCCAGTTCCGGTCCCAGGGTCCCAAAGTGTCCCAAAGTGTCCCAGGGTCCCAAAGTCTCTCAGTCCGGCTTCGATTCACCTATTTTATGGTTTAAAACAACAACAACAACAACAACAGCAGCAGCAGCAGCAGCAGCAGCAGTGATTCAAGTTAAAGGAAAAGACATATATAATATTATAAATCTATGATTCCAACTGACAGTCTACTATTTGTCAAAAATAATCAAAAAGTTCAGGCTAAACAAGTAATTGCAGAAATTTGCTCAACTAACTAGCTAATCAGACGCAAGTCTCGCTTAGGGCGGCGGCGGCAGCAGCAGCAGCAAAGTTGAACAGACATATTCACCATCCACAGGAAGATTGGCAGGCTGTGCGTGACATCTAGCAGGCAGTCCGGCTTAGAGTCAAATCCCTCTCTTTTATTTTTCCTTTTCTTTTTAATATTCCCTCTCAAGTTCTCAACAGTATTTTTTAGTAACTCCAAATTGATAATGGTCTGGGACTGCAATGGCCGCACAGTTGCAGTCTGAGAAATCTGCATTTTTTTGCTGCCAAATTGCCAATTGACCTGGTTGCTGAGATTGCAGAGACTGAGTCTGTTTTGCTGTGATTTGTTAGTCTGAATGTCCTGCTAATGGGTCTCGCTCCACTACTCTCGACTCACGAAAAGTTTCGTCAGTCCTAGAGTTGTCAGACGTGCAAAACTCTCGAAAAAAAAGTCTTGGCTCCACTTACTCTAGATGGGTTTGCTCGAGATGCAGTGGCGGAATGAGACGAGCTCTCTGACTGCACTAAAAGACAGCGCCGCCCTGTTCTGATGGCCGGGACACGAGGCGCACTCTCGAAAAAAAATGGTCGGAGCGGGGGTACGAGGGAGGACACTGGAAAAGCATGTCGTCGCAGGCTGGGCACTCTAGACACTTCGAGAGTGCCCTTCGAGAGTGCTTTCTGACAGCTCTCAAAGGGCGTTTTCGAGAGCACCTATCTAGAGTGAGTGGAGCGAGGCCTTACTCTCGAAATTTTGAGAGTATAGAGTAGTGGAGCGAGACCAAATGTGTGCGAATGTCCATGTGCTTGTCTGATGAACTTCTGATTTCAAATCTGTGTCAGTGAGCTAACTCTGTTTCTCGAGCTGTGTTTCTGTACCTCAGACGGGTAGAAACAGAAATAGGTGTAGTTACGAGGATAGAACCGAAATTTGGCCAAAGAGGGACTTACAGGAATTCTAGGACGGCCAGTGGCTTAAGTACAATTTGTCAGGCACTTGGTAGGGATATTCTGTCAATTCGGGCAGGCCATGCGGTCAGGTAGGGTAGGAGGTAGGTGTAATGACCGTAGCAAACTGCATGTGGGCAGAATTAGGTCCAGGTTCAGGGTCACAGGGTTTCAGTCTGCAACGATGTTCCTGCCACTCATTTGGCTGAGGTCCTGCAACAGCCGAGTGAGGTAGAGAGAGGACTAGGGCCCAGGGGATGAAGGTAAACTGCCATTCATTTGGCATTCACTCAGTGGTCATGCTGCTGCTCCGCCCAGAAGGAGAGATTGAAGGAGCACTTTGGTGATGAGCACTTCAATGAAGAGGAGTTACATGGCTATGGTGGAGCAAGGTATAGTAGAGAGGGGGTCGTCCGGCTATTGAGGGAGGTAGGAGAAGCCCACGTTGGGCTATGGAAGGACGAAGGAGGTGTTAGTAGAGGTAGAGGAGGAGGATGAAGGAGGAAACTGCAAGAAGACTAACCTTTGGCTGTGGTGGACCTTCATCTTCGCTTCCCTGGTTGGTGCTGCATCAAGAAGGCCTCTGTTGGGGTATTGCTTGAACATGACATCATCCATGAGTGAGGCATGGTGGTGCAGGAAGGGGAGGGGCATAGCAGCAGTGTGTTGTCCTCTGCACATCCCACCTAAGGCAGGGATGATCCACCATAGCTGCTAGTTCTACTAGGAGCAGGAGGAGAGAGAGAGAGAGAGAGAGAGAGAGAGAGAGAGAGAGAGAGAGAGAGAGAGAGAGAGAGAGAGAGAGAGAGAGAGGAGAGAGAGAGAGAGAGANAGAGAGAGAGAGAGAGAGAGAGAGAGAGAGAGAGAGAGAGAGGAGAGAGAGAGAGAGAGAGAGGGAGCTAAAGCAGAGTTCCTTCTACATTGGCAGTGAGGGAGATCTATTGGACATTGATTCCTTATTCATTCATTTTTTTGTGATTATCCCATACACATGATGGAGGCACAAAGAGGGCCATACTAATGCCCCCCCGCTGGGCCGAGGGGGAAACTGGGACAGGACCACAGTGTCCTGCCGGTGCTTAGTTTATTCTTCTTTTTTTTAAGTTTTTTTTGCTTTTGCGCAACACGATTCATGTTTCTTCATGTGGTGCAGGACCCTGTTTATTTCGTTTTGTGTGTTTTTCTCCGTGCCCCAAACTGTCTCCGAGAGTGGAGTCACACGGATTCATCTCTTTCCTTCTGGATGTGATAGCTGCATGGAGTGTTGTTGTCGCTTCTTTTTCTGGATATAGCCCCGAGTTGCATACGAGTCCAGAGTGTGCAGCTGTTCACATACAACTACAGAGTGCCTGTAGGATTACGACAGAGGAATCGGGTAGAAGGCTGTCACGATCACAGCAGTTCTTTTTAGGGGTTCTCTTGGGGGGGTGGTCTCTCTTTTTTTTACCTACAGCCACCCCACCCAGCCGACATAATACCAGTCCATACAGTACCAACTAGCCCACATGGTACCACCCAGCCCACATAGTGCCATCCAGCCCACATAATACAGCCCACTGCACATAGTACTACCTGCCCCAGACAGTACCACCCAGCCCACATAGTACTAACTAGCCCACATGGTACCACCCATCCCACATAGTACCGTC